GGATGAATTTTGATAGCTTAAGCTATGTTTTTAAGCTTGGTTTAAGTGTAAATTAGCTTGATTAGTTGCTGTGATTTTTGGAGAAAATCCCGTGAGATTAGTTAGTGTTTTGGCCAATTTGTGGGAGTGGAGTTACTGTTCACGTCGGGGTCACTGTTCAAGGCACTGTTCACCTGTTACTGTTCACACCCCGAGGGCCAACTATTAACGGGAATTTAAATGATTAGTTTGTGATATGAGAATGAATTTGGAGATGTCCGATCATGTGGAAAGTGATAGAAATAGCATTGTGATTAGGAATGATCCTAATGATGATTTCAGCTTGAATTTGTGATAGTCCGATATTAATTCTTGGATGTTTTGATTAGGTTCTTGATCGTTCTGTCAGTTAGCATTGAGATTGAGTGCTCAGTTTTATGCGAGTGAGGTAAGTAATTTATGGTAATGCCCGTACTGTTTTAAAAGCATGTTTTGATTTGTTTTTGAAGTGGTGGCGGGACTAAACCCGTTTTACATAAGTATGACTGATTTGAAGTGAAATGTTTTGTGCTTTTCATGAAATTGAGCATGCCTACTTGAAATTTAAGTGATTGTCCTGATGATCTGAAAGTGATTGTGAATTGTGATTTTCCTGTTAACTTCTGTCTGTTTTGTCTCCGATATGGTCATGTTATTCGTGTGCCCGCTAGTGGGAGGTTTATAAACGCTAGCACATGTCGACATGTTCCTGATAGAACCGGTTTGCTCGTGGCCCTACTAGTGGGGATTATACACTAGTACTCGTGTGCCCGCCAGTGGGAGGTTTATAAACGCTGGCCATGACCTATAGAGGAGACGTCTATTTCGTGCCCATACTGTATCTGTTTTCGTGATTGTACTTGTTGGCATGCTTTAAGCTTGATAAGGGGCACTCCATATTTACTTACTGAGTTTATCTCATAGTTTTTCCTTGTCCACCATTTTAGGATGTGAAATCGAGGATGGGGAAACCACTGGAAGTGATGAGATAGAAGGCTAGCCATATTGTAATTGGATATAAATTTTAGAAATAAATCATGATCTTGTATTTGGAGATTTTATGATATCAGAGAGAATTTTATAATTTGATCTTTAGATTTTGGTGGTATCAGAGTATGATGTGATAAGTTCCGAGCCTTGTGCATTTGTGGGACCCATTTCACGAGTGCACGGCGTCTGTCACGTCTCGAAATTGGGTTTTGGGGCGTGACACCCAATGCCTCATATACTTTCTTTCTTAATTGCATTCTCTGTAGGATCGGTGTCTCTAGGGCTCTCTGAAAGAAGATCTTCAATTTTGGGCATCGATTCACAATTACTCTTTCTAAGGATGGGAATTTGAAGGAGGATTATTGGAAATGGCCTCTTGCTAGGTCCCTTGAACTATTGCAAATTCAAATTGCTTTGTGTGGAATGTTATATCCTAATTAGACTATGGAGGATTAGGTTGTTTGGTTGGCTTCTCCATCAAGTTCTTTTTGAACAAGTGCTACTTGGAACTTCCTTAGGGAAAAAAGATCTAAGGTACCTTGGTTTAGACTCATTTGGTACTCAAATTCTATTCTCAAACATAGTTTTATTGCTTGGCTGACTATATTAGATAGACTCTCTACCAGGTCTAGGCAGAATAATCGGTTTCTTCCATTGATGACACTTGTGTGCTATGTGGGAATGCAAGTGAAACTAGGAACCATCTCTTCTTCTCCTGTCCCTACACTACTCATATTTGGGAAAAGATTTCTTCTATGCTGGAAATCCCATTAAACTGTATTTGGCAAGATGCTTTGGATTGGTTATGTAAGAGAGTTAAACATAAGGCAATGTACATCTTTCTTCTTAAATTAGCTTGGTGTGCATCAATATATCATATTTGGATTGAAAGAAACAGCAAGATACATAGACAGCTATACAGATCACTTTTTACAATAATTGATATGATTCAAATGGATGTCCAAGATAGAGTACTAGAGTCTCTGAAGGAAAGGTCTTCTCCCATGTCAAGGAGAATTACAGCTCAATGGCGATTAGAAACTTTATGTACAGCTAAGGTTTGAACATACATTAGTTTAGGAGTTGTTCCATTCTTTGTACTAACATTAATAGCAACCTTAACCAAAAGAGCTGTTTTGTGTAGATTTTGGTAATAAATTCACATTTTACCAAAAAAGAAATTGCCTAAACATATAGAGGCTTGTAAGGTTTCTTAAACTTTCTAGTCCTAAATATCTTAATTCCTTGATATTGATAAGAAATGACCAAGTTTTGAGAATACTGAATCATATCCACTATATTGTTTCAGATCCTAAATATATGCTTAAACTTATGTACATGAGCATTGCCTTTCAATGTTGCTCAATCTTTGTACTTTGTGATCAATAATTTCCTTTTTCTAATTATATTCTTGATAGTTGCTCAATGCCTTTATTTTCTAATCACTAGTTTCCTTTTGATATCTTGTTTCCCTACTTGGCTCATGGCTTGATAGAAGCATTGCTGTTGATGTATCTTTCATACATACTCCAATGGTCTTAGTGACAACCATCAAAACGTGGAATTGAGGGTTGCTGGCAAAATTTTTGAAAGCCATCAAAATTTTCAAGAACTTTGAAATATTGTGGAGGATTGATCAAATCAATTAAACAAAATTTAACTATAAGGAACAATAATCCAAATGGAATCAACCTTAAATAGGCTTTACATCTATTGATGCACGTTTTTAGATTCAAGTAGTCTTTACGTCATCAAGACTTGCCTCAATCTAAGTGCCCTCAACATGCATTTGCCAAAAGGCCCAATGATATCCAATGCTATAATACATGGTTGCATTGCTAGAGATACACAAGGAAGTCTCTTTCCTTTATTATTTCCTTACTTATCAAATTTCCTCATTTTCATCAATTGATGACTATTTTGATATGCCGGTTATTAATGAACCCATGGACCCAAGCTCATGGGATATCTTCAGATAAATTATGAGAGTAGTGGCTTGGTAAGCATGGATGGATGAACATTGCCCACCTATCAAAGTATAGTATTTGTGCTAGCCAAGCTTAGGGTTGGCGATACTACTTGTCTTCGCTAGGGAGGGATGGGTAGCAAATATGTTAAGGCAAAACTTAATCCTAAAACTACACTATTTGGTACTAACTAGAAGTCTTGCAATATGATTGAAGATCAATTAGAGATGCCATTTAAGTCTTCATCACTAGTCTGCACAGGTATTTAATGTTTGGATGCTTATAAAAGTTTCTCATGGATGGTTGCACAAGTTACACCATATTGGAAGTAGATAAAAAGATTACAATTTGTCTGGCAAATCTACCAAAATCTTGGACAGAGGAAGATTTGCCGGCATCACTTAAATACATCCCAATATTGGTATTATGTATAGATATAAAATTGCCAAGAATGGGAGGGCTTTAGCAAACTAACAATCCTTTGCTAGATCTTTGGAGAAATCATAATTACACATTAGTCCTGTCAGAAATGCCTAGATCATCTCGAAATTCAACACCTATCCTCCATTGGTGAATCTTCAACCATTGGATTACTAGGCTACTTTGGCATTACAAACCCAAAACTACCACAATGCTACTAACTATATATATTCACCATTTTCCTTTTATTTTCAGAGGAGAACAAATCATAATTCATTTTACACATCACAAATTCATCCCACATATTTTTTTACTTTCTCATCTTCAACCTCTCAATTCTTTCACTAAATTTTTCTAGACTTGCTATAACTTATCTTCTCTTCATTTTCTAAACTCATATACATGCACATATTCCACAAAAACCTTTGTTTCTACCTTTCTACTAATCACACAAATTGCTCTCTAGACATACAGTTCATTATGGTTAAAAGATTTCACATTGCAACTTGAGGTTCTAGATTATTTTGCTTGAGCATTAGAAGATCAACCAACAACAAAGTTAACATGAACAAATAGGATCAAGTCCTCCATCAAAAGCCCTCACAATGGTTATTCTTCCTCTCTCATCACTACTTTTTGGTTTATTTCTTCTTGTATGCATAAATCTAGAATTACTATACTTTGAACTCCAACTTGAAGGTTATTTTTTTTAGAGTTCATACATTTGTTGAAGATAGCAGAGGGCATATCTACTATGTATTTCTTCTACAGTACAACATATTGCACATAGATATGCACATGTTATTGTACAAGTTGATATTTACATTTTCCATCTAGGTTGCTTTGGCTACAATGCAACTCATTTGTTTATCTCTGTTTGTGGTTACATAATTGTGATCTTGGGTGCACTATCACCACCTTGCTTTTCCAGCTTGGTTGGGGAAGCTCTATTTTCCAAGCTTTGCAAGAGAAAGCTTGTAGTTCACCTTTACCAAAGAAGAGGAGGGAAGATGGCTCATGATACGTAACCTCTTACACATGAAATGAGTGCCAACCAAAAGGAGCCTCCTCATTTTCTACAAGGAGCATCCTAGTTAGCTTCTACATCATCTTTGTTACTAACTCATCAACCCCCTACCACAACAACATCAAAACTAACAATAGAAACCACCAACATCACTAACTTAAATAATTTACAAACACTAACCAACAACTAACTACTTCCTTAAGACTAGGAAAACAAGCTAGTAGACAACTTTCAACAGCAACAGTAACAAAGTAAGCAATCTAAATCAATATGCAATCTCAAAAAGTATCTATGATCTAAAAAATTTCCTCAAAAAGTGAACTTGGAAATCGGAATAAATATGAGCTTATCAACATCTCATCAAATGACAAAAATAACAGCGGCATTAATCGAAAATAAAATTTATTAACTCCATTTTTGAGTTCGAAGAATTATTAATCGAACTAAATCATTTCAGCAACTATCTTAAATCCTGAAGCTCCTAGCCCAACTCAAGTCTCCAAATGCATGCGTTTCTTGGATTGCAGTGGAATCTATAAAAATGTAATGTAAATAACCCATGAGAATAACATCCAGTGCGTAAACAAGCATCTACAAATCTAAGAGACAAACATTCAAGAAATTTCTCACCTGATCCTTGATGTCGTTACATCCTTGTTCTTCTTCCTTTTTTTTTTTTTCATCGCATTCTGCTCCTTTCGGGATACAATAGACTTCTTTCTGTTAGCGAAGCGAAAACATTCAAGTTAGTATAAACAGGTAGTTCTCTTAAAATTTTGTTTGAAGAACTTATTTAAAAAAAGAAAATTAATTATATGTTTAAAAATTAATTATTTGATTGAAAGTTCTATTCTTGTAAATTAAATAAGTCAATTTTCATATTAATTTAATACTTATAACCCTTGATCTAAGACACTATATTTACCAACATATATTTAACAGTATTAAATTTTGTATAATCAATAAAGTAGTTAGAATTATTAAAACAATATAAAATTGACATATATAATCTTTATGAATAAAATTTTTAATTTAACTGTTGATTTTTTAAAATATTAATTAAAATGTGAATTTTTAAACAAAATTTCCAAAAAATGATTAGGAAAAAGATCGACAATACACTTTTTCTTTAATATAAACAAACTGTAAACCAAACTAAACCGCGTCCAAATTTTAAATAAGGATTCCAGAGAAGAAAATATATGAAAAAAAAAAGAATTTCAAATTCCTACTCTAAATTTTAAATTTTTATATTTTAAAGGAAAATAATTAATACATTTTTCAGTTTAACACACTTTTTGACATTTATCCAGTTGAATAATTAAAATATAATATAAGTACAATTGATTTATTAGGTTACTATATATTACATGCATGATTATATTTTTGAATTTATTTACGTTTAAACTTATATTAAGAAATAATAATTTTTTAATATATTATACAATATATTAAACGAAAAGGTATATCAATCAATATCATTAACTAAATTATATCTTTACAAAGAGAAAATTTTGAAATTCCTTCGCTAATATTTTCTTCTTATAAAATCTCACTTAATATTCTCACCCAAAAAAACATGAAAAATATGGTACAGTGGTTAGGAGATATAAAGCAACTCTTTTGAGTGCCTAGAAAAATGGCAACTTGTAGGCAGCCCTTAAGACAGGAGTTTCGTGAAAATTAAGAAAGCTTTATCAGACACGTAATTAGATTAACTAAAATAAGATAATCACTCACCATCTGACATTCAGTTGAAGTTGAAGGACGCAAGCCACCTCAATGTCATCCCATTATTTGTAGAAATTTACCTATAATCCAGTTGAGAGCAAACATCCCAACGTCTAGAAGAAAATACAGCATTACAAACATAAAAATGATTGTAGAAAGCACCGAATTGCTTTCCTTTCTGATGCCATCAAGACGCTGCAAACAATAAGGACAGAATATTAAAAGCGAGAGAAAACAGTAACTTGTGAAGTTACCAGAACCTTCCGAAAAAAAGAAAGGAAACTGAAAAACATATATAAGGGAATCTTATTGAACCAATGCAGACCTGATTAATGGACAAATATCTTATAGTGTCGTTAAGGTTGCCATTCAGCCAGATTCCATCATTATCATCTTCTTTTGACTTGACGTTCTGCAATTTCTCTGTTTTCACTGCTCCCTTGGAGAAGATACGCATTATTGGACACTGATTAAAAATCAGTTCTTGCAGATACGGGAATTTAAAGTTGCAGTTCCCAGAGCAAAAGCTTTTTAGTCTTGATAGACGGTCAAGTCGTAAGGATGTGAGTTGGTTGAAAACAATTCCATCTTTAACATCATCACCCCCACATGACACGATTTCTTCTAACTTTGAACAATCAGTAATGTTCATTGTTGACAGCTGCTCCAATCTTGTAGCTATTGTGTATCTCAATAAAGTTTTGAGTCCATTACATCTTGATACTTCCAAAGTCCTTAAATTTACAAAAGATACCTCCTAAATAAAAGAAAAAATTCTGATTAGTCGCTTTTGTTTTTTTTTCTTTTAGGCAATTAATCAGAAGAAGATAGAGACCGAAGTGATCAACTCATGATCCTGATCGTCAGACACAGACACAGTGAACTTAAAAGAATAGTCACTTGTAAACAAATCAGAAAATTATCACAAACAAACTGCACTAACAGCAGAAGCAACAGAAACAAAGCAAGTCCTGGATGGAAAATGCAAACAGAAAACATTAACAACCAACTGGAGACCACAACACTCAGAACCCTTATTGATTAATGAACGCAGAGAATTCATTAAGACCTTCATGCCCCAATTTATTTATTTCTTATCTGGATATGTAAAAGTGATCAGACATGACAAACAGGTAAAAATTAAGTTTCAATTCCTTTACATCCTATCCTACAGGTTTTCAAGAACAAAATCAAAGCCCATGGATTAATGTTTTCCGTGATCATACCTTATTGACCCAAAATAGGGGATGTTGCTGGCTTTTAAACAGGTTGTATACATGGCCCAAAAGAAACAAAAAAAGTTGGATGCATCCAGTTCTTCTTAACACCGAAGCAAATATCTGCACTTGGTCACATTCATACAGCTGCATTTTAGCCAACAATGGCCATTCTGTAGCATTTTGAGGGAAGAAACTCTTGAGTTTTGGTAGCTTAGAAAATTTCAGGTATGTTACTTGAGGAAATACAAACACAGCGCCAGGTGGAGCTTGTGATTCGCAGCAGAATCTTGTGAGTTCTGGAAGGTCTTCGAGAACCATACTGTCGAGTTTGGGGAACAAAGGCCAGGGGAACAAAGGCAAGGACATCTTCCCCTTCTCTTCTATTAATCCTTCAGTTCCTATTAGGTACCTCTTCCATCTTCTTACAACCACGTACCACAAGCCTTTTGATGAGTTGTGAAAAACTTTGAACCCTAGAGAATGTCATTAGATATTTCAATCCATCACAGCCTTCCACAACCATCTCCGTTTAATTTTGAACAAGAGCAAACGTTTCTGGAAGTTGGTTGATGCAACTTTGTTGGATGTGAACTGAAGAAAGCCTCAATGACTCCAAGTTGGAAAGCTCAACCTCTAAAACGGGTTTACACAGCTTTCATGAACTTTTTTATTCACTTTTATTCTTCAGTGAAAACAAAATAATAACTTCAAAGAAGGGACACGAAAATGGATTAAAATTTTGAGGTATCCCACAGGGATTTTATTTGTTATTGTTAGAACTATTACTCCCCTTATTATGGCTCTTGCAAGAGATCTGTAGATATATGACTCTAATCTATTGAAGCTTAAATAATTTATCAGTACTTTTCCTAAGCATAGCATTAATTCAAGCACTAATATGTAATTTGAATTGAAGTAAAAAGAAAAAGAAAAATCTTCAAAATGAAATTGACCTTAGAACTGAAGAAAAAGGGCTCAGATGCCTCTTCTTGTCGTTGGTTACTTGAAAATATAACCATATTTGGACAGTCAGCTATAATAACATCTAGTAATGATGGAAACCTGAGTGTATAGCTTCCAGTGGATAAACTTGTCAACTTGGAACATGACTCGAGAGTAATGACCTTTAGCTGATGGAATATCAACTTATTTTCTTCTATGTTTTCAGCTCCTCCTGTGATAATTCGCTCCATCATCTTGCAGTTTTTTACAACCAACTGCATGAGTTCCACAAGTTCCATAACCATCGATGGGGTTAGGAGATATGTCAAGTTGCTGACATTACAAATTTCGAAAGATGTAAGCTGTCTGAAACTCAAGAATTCTTGAGGATTCATGTTCCATTTTCCTATTAGCTCAGGGAACTCAGACGGTTTCAAATTCTACAAACACAATAGTCAATACATTGCCAGCTTCAGTCTTTTAACCAAAATTGAATTAAATGGATATTCATGAGATGCTCAAAAGTAAAATAAAGTAAAAAGAAAAAGAAAGAAGAGGATATTGTTATCATTCAGTTCATACCTTTTCTCAGTACAATTTCTGTATGTTGCCATTGAGGTTACCTGCCGGATGCTACTGATTCTTTCTTTTTAGTGATTGCACTCTTTGCAGGATCGGTGTCTCTAGAATTCCTTGACAAAGGGTCCTCAAATTTGGGCACCGATTCACAATTACTCTTTCTAATGATGGGAATTTGAAGGTGAAATTGCCTGAACAAAAGCTTGTAAGTCTTATTAAACATTCAAGTCTCAAATATCTTAATTCCTTGAAATTGATCTCATCTTGTGTTGTGTGCCCATCGTTTCCTACTATTTCTGTCATCCTGTGGCATTCTCTTATACTCAAGGATTTGAGTTGCACTAGGCTTTGGACTGTTGAAAGTGAAACCAAGTTTATCATTTCTTGGCAATTCCATACATCCAAAGTCGTTAGAGTTAGGAAAGATGGTGATGTTGATAAGCTAATCAAACTCTTACAATGCCACACTTTAAGAGTTTCAAGATTTTCTGGAACAACCTGGCTCCATATATGCTTCAGATCAGGAACGAACTTTAGCTTTAATCTTCTAATACTGGAGTGTTTCTCTATAGAATTAGAAGGGAACAACTTTTTGAAACCACAAGACTCCGTGGTAAGCCTTTTCATATTCTGGAATTTTTTAATGAAATCCATTGGACGCAGGGTTGACTCATCATCATAGCCCTGAATCTGAAGAACTTCTATCTGGTTAAAAAGGCCTGCTGTGGAATATATTGGTTCTGACGTATGCTTTTAATGTGATCAGCTGTTAATGACAACTTCTTCAACTCAGGGATGTCCTATAAACCAAACCAAGAAAACAAATCCTTGTTATAATTACATACAATGTAAACAGATTCCCTTCTCATGGATATAACTCAAGCAAGAATAAGCATATTAAAACTCTTTGAACCTTCCGAACTTTGGCAATCTTATGATTTCACATCTATTGTATGAAAGGGAAAAAATACACTAAAAGCAAACCTTAGTCAAGAAGTTGTAACATTTCTGATTAGTTAATATTTTGTAGAAAGGCTTATATTGACAACTCAAGGTAATAAAAAGGATCGCACCTTCTCAAGAGACAAAAGTTGGACATGCTCTTCTATCATCTTCTTTTCTCCACAACGATAACAGTAGAACTTTTTTAATGCTTTCCAGTGTGTCTGTTTTCCCCAGTAAAAAAGTCTGAGTTTTGGTAGGGAGTAAAGTATGAGGCAGGATAAGGATGGAAACTCCAAGCCGACGTTTTCTTCTACTCCTGGATTCATGGCAACAATTTGCTCTAGCTCAGTGCAGGATTGTATTTCCAGCCTTTTAAGTTGTGAAAGGCCTTTGGCCAACGAAAATGGAAACAGATGGTTTAGTTGTGGACAACTGAAAACTGTCACTGATTCCAAGTTCTGAAAAGTGGCATTTCCATTCCATACATGCTTTAATCCTGGTAGCTGATAAATATACAATTCTTTCAATTCAGAGCTTGTTATTTCAGCACCTGATTGTCCAAACACCTCTTCTACTGAACTGCAACCAATTATTTCTAAATTCTCCACTAAATTCAAGAGTTTACTCAGCATGTCTTTGTCAGATGGAAAAATGGATGACAGATTCTGACAATATGTAACTCTCAATGATTATGATTTTAAGTTACAGAAGGAATTTTCAGCAAGTTCTTTCCATATGATCTTCATGCTTTTCAAGAGAGAAATAGTCATCCTTTCCAATTTAGGAAATGCAATCTGCATTGTTCATTGCAGAGAAATGAGAATCAGTTCCCAAAATTAATTCAAAATGCAAGAGTGATGAAGAAACTTGCCATCATATCAAAGAGGGCTTGGATGCCAGACATAGTATCTGTGCTCGTAGATTCTGTCAAGAATCCCTTCAATTCCGGGCAATTTTCTATAGCCAACAGCTTCAAGGATGGGAACTCAGGACAAGAATTTTCCAAGCAGAATCCAACAAGGTTTTGAAGGTCTTCTATGTGTAGGAAGTTTAAGCGGAGAAAAGAATTAGTGGGGACTTTTGTGCCATATGATTTTCAAGTTTTTCAATTGGGAGATAGTCAACCTTTCCAAAGTAGAAATATAACATGAATTGTTCGTTAAAAAGAAATCAAAATTAGTTACCAAGATTCAATCCAAAATGCAAGTGCAATTAAGAAAATTTACCTTCTCATCAAAGAGAAGCTATATGCCAGCAGTGTTATTTGTGCTCGTAGGGTCTGCCATAAACCCCTTCAGTTGTGGGCAGTTCTCTATAGCCAACTGCTTCAGTGATGGGAACTCGATACTGTAATTTCCTGAGCAGAATCCAGTGAGGTTTTGAAGGTCTTCTATTTGCAGGAATTTTAACTTGCTAAATAAAATCCTGTTAACTTTTTCTTCTGCATTTTCTTCTGTGACAATAATTTTTCCCATCCTGTTGCATTCCCTTATTTGAATTTGTTCAAGCTTCTCCAGACATGTAACAATAGATGAGGAGAATAGATTTTCCAACTTATCACAGCCCTCAATTATCAGCTTTGTCAGGTTCCATTTCCTGTTAGATTTTGGCAAAAGCCCATTGTGCCCTATCATTTTATTACTGATCCAGGACAAACGTGACTCCTGTAACTCTGTAACCACAAGCTGCACAACACAACGTTCCTTTTAGGAGCTAGAACATCTTATCACTTTGTTCAGAAACAAGAGAAAGAATATATACATATATATAACTTATGACTAATAGGATGAAGAAGAGATTGAGAGTGAAAGATACTAATTCATTCACAGAGGTTATACATATATACAAGTTGAGGTGTTGCCCTAACACATATGGAAAGAACTTGTAAAAATAGAAACATACATAATACAATGAATCCTTATAAATGCAGAATATATGACTAGCAATGACTGATTGTAAGGATGATTAGGATTTGATATCCCGTGTAGTTGATTGAGCCATGATTGGTGGTGTAGCATGATGTGTTTCCATAATACGCCCCCGCAAGATGGTAGGGCCATCAACGATACCAATCTTGGAACACAGCAAGGCAAATCTGGAAGAGGAGAGTGGTTTGGTCAACCCATCAGCAAGCTGATCAGCAGAGGCAATGTGAGAGACACGAAGAATTTTCTTATCAACGAGGTCACAAATGAAATGAAGATCAATGGCTATGTGCTTCATACGAGAGTGCATGACTAGATTACTGCTAAGATATGTGGCACCAACATTGTCACAATAAAGCACTGGTGGGGCATCAACATGAATCCCAAGCTCAGTCAACAAATGCAGTACCCAGACTAACTCAGAAGAAGCTGCTGTCAAAGCTCGATACTCTGCCTCGGTGGAACTGCAGGCAATGGCTTGTTGCTTGCTACCCTTCTAAGAGATAGGGGTAGCACCAAGGAAGACAGTATAGCCAGTAGTAGAGACACGAGTGTCCTTATCACCTGCCCAGTTAGAATCACTGAAAGCATGAAGAGCTAGAGTAGAAGTGGGTCGTATCAGTAGTCCATGGAACATAGTGTTCTTCAAATATCGGAGTATACGTTTGATTGCCTGCCAGTGCATCTCAGTTGGACAATGCATATACTGAGATAATTTATTAATAGCAAAAGAGATATCTAGACGAGTTAAGGACAGGTACTGCAAGGAGCCAACGAGTTGCCGATAAGCTGTACCATTAGGAAGACGTGGAGAACTGGTTTGCAAAGACAACCTAGAAGTAGACATAGGCGTGGCAACCGGTTTGGCACCATCCATTTTATGCTTCTGCAAGAGATCATTAATGTATCTATGTTGAGAAAGAAATAAACCAGTAGAGGTTTTAATTGCTTCTATGCCCAAGAACAAACTAAGGTCACCAAGGTCCTTCAAAGAGAACTTCTGCCCCAACCTGTGAATCAAGTTTGAGATAAAAGTAGCACTATTCCCAGTAATCAAGATATCATCAACATAGACCAGCACATAGACAACAATTCCAGCATTATTATAGATGAATAAAGAGCAATCAGAGCGAGAATTAACCAAACCACAGCCAAGGAAAAAATGTTTCAATTCAGTGTACCACGCCTGTGGAGCCTGCTTAAGGCCATAAATTGCTTTCTTCAATTTACAGACATGATGAGGAAGATTGTGATCAATAAAACCTGTCGGTTGAGCCATGTACAAGTCCTCCTCAACATTGCCATGGAGAAAGGCGTTGTTCACATAGAGTTGCTGGATTGACGAAGCTTGACTTATAGCAATTGTAAACACAATGTGAATGGTGGTGGGTTTGATGACCGGACTGAAGGTATTAGAATAGTCATGCCTAGGATGTTGATGAAATCCTTTGGCCACCAATCGAGCCTTGTAGCGCTCAATATCACCATTTTTGCCTCTCTTTAATCTGAAGACCCATTTGCACTAAATCCCAAGTGCCTTGCCAAACCAGAGCATCAAATTCCTCCGACATAGCCCTTCGCCAATGGGGATGACACATGGCTTGGCTCACACATGAGGGCTCAACCGGGACTGGGAGAGGGTGTTTGGTGGCAAGGTGCATCTGTTTTGGTTTAAAGATGTTATTTAAGGACGGGGTGATCATTGGGTGAGTGCGGTGGGTGATGGGCGGTGGTGGGAGAGGGGAGGACGGGGCTGACCCAGGTGAAGTAGATCCGGTGGTTGGTGAAGCGGGACTCGGTGTCATAGAGGAAGAAACAGGGGATGGGAAGGGAGGGGGCAGAGTTGTGATAGGGAGAATGAGAGAATTACTTGAGCAGGGGGGAGATCGAGCTGGATCTGGACCACAAGCAGAGGGGTGCGAGCCATCCTACAGAGAAAGGATGGCAAGGTTTGGCAGATGGGAGGCGATAGCAACGGCAGATGGCAAAGAGGCAGGCAAGGCTGGGCGGGGATCAAAGGAGAGATCCGAAATTGGTGCCGGTGATGAGGAGGCTGGGGGGATGGAAGGCGGAGGATGAATTAAAGAGGAAAGAATCGAGATTTGCGGTTGAGTAGGATCGGGATTAGCTGAATTTGGGGGGTTTGGGTTGCCATTGGAGACCCGAAATGGAAAGAGATCCTCATGAAAGATAACATGTTTTGAAATAAATATTTTATTAGATTGGGGATCAAAACACTTATAACCTAAGTGATCAACAGAATATCCAACAAAAATACATTGACGGGATCTTGCTTGGAGTTTATTTTGGGTGTATGGGCGCATCCAGGGATAGCAAGCACATCCAAAGGTTTTGAGTTTTAAATAATTTGGAAAAATAGAGAAAAGTTTTTGAAATGGTGATTTGAAAGACAAAACAAGAGTTGGTAAGCGATTAAGTAAATATACTACAGTTTGAAAAGCATGAGACCAAAATTGAGGTGGTAGAGAGCCATAATGAAGTAAGGCTAGACCAGTCTCAACTATGGTTCTGTTCCATCTTTCACAAAGGCCATTAATTTATGGAGTATAAGGTGGAGTGGTAAAATGAGAAATACCATTTTGTTGAAAATAATTACGAAGAGCAACATATTCCCCACCCCCATTAGAGTAGAAATTAATTATTTTACGCCCAAATTGATTTTCAACTAATGACTTGAATTTTGGGAAATTTATTGAGACATCTGATTTTTTTTGGATTGGATATTACCAAATATAACGACTGTAAAGATCCACAAAAATAACAAAGTACTTGTACCCATCAACAAAAACGGTAGGTGCAAGACCCCAAACATCAGAAAAAATATATTCAAGAGGGGCATAGCTGGTAATAGAGGATTTGGAGAATGGAAGTTTGGCTTTTAGAACAAGAGCATGAATCACAATAAAAATCATCGGCTTTATTTATTAATGGCAGATTGATAACACAGGGAATTTTTTTGAATACTTTGGAAGATGGGTGTCCCAGCCTTGCATGCTAATTTATTGCTGATGTCCTCTCCCCAAATGTGCCATAGGTATTTGTTTAGTGGGACCCATTTGAGGAACTTGGTACATCCCAAGCCGGTTTGGTCCTCGCAGTAGTATCGCCCCTGTGTTGCGATCCTTCACCAAGAAAAAATTTGGATGAAATTCAACAATGGAATTTGTAGTTTTGCATAATTGAGAAACAGAAATAAGATTGCGAGAGGCGGTAGGTACACATAAAACATTATTTAAAGGGATAGATGAGAAGGGTGTTGTGAGAGTTGTGTGGCCAACATGAGTGATTTGCAAACCTAAGCCATCTCTAATTAGTAGTTCATCAGGGCCATTATATTCGGAGTGGAGTGCCAAGTTGGACAGATTGGTGGTGATGTGATTATTAGCACCCGAATCAATCAACCACTCATTAGTGCTTAGATTGGTAGATGCTGCATAGTGAGCCGTGGGTCCATGGCCTTGATTCCGAAATAGATAACAAGTACGAGCTGTATGCCCAAATTGGTTGCAAAGTTGACAAGAGATATGGGATCTGCCAGTGTTGGGCCAATTTGGGCCACCTCTTCTTCTGTTAAATTGATTGGGCCTGTTACACCTATTACCTCTTCCTCCTGCCAAATGTTGACCTGATCCAAATGGTTGGATACGTTGTGGCAGTGGTAGGATTCCTGCACCATTGGACTGAAGAGAAGTATTTGAGAAACCAGAACTTGTTGAAAAATTAGGAGTATTACCAGCAGGCTTTTTGATGGGCATGGCAGCAAAATGAGCAGTCATTGGTGCATTTTCAAGCCGGGTTTCTTCTCGGTGCATGCTTTCTTCATGTGTGACTAATCTGTCATGAAGTTCTTCAAAAGAAAGTGGCTTGTCTCGAGCGCAGAGTGAAGCAGAGATCTCACGAAATTCAGGTCCTATCCCATTGAGGACAAACACATACACCGTCAGATCATCGTTGGTGAGGGGTTTGTCTATGGCAGCAAGTTCATCAGCAAGCACCTTGAGTTGATGGAGAAATTCGGTGACAATGCGACCTTCACAGCGAGTATTCTGGAGGCGCTCCTTGAGTGTAAAGACTCTAGATCTTGAGTGGTTTACATAGAGATTAGCTAGGATTCTCCAGGTTTGTTGTGAGGACTCTGTTGTAGATATGTAGGGGGCAATTGGTTTTGAAACCGACGTGAGAATGGCATGTCGGATTGATTGATCTTGGTGAATCCATAGTTCAAAGGGTGAGTCGGGAACCTCTCCGGTTGATGGCGTTGGGCAAGGTTTGGATCCATTGAGATAGCCAGTTAATTTGTAGACAGTAAGAATAGATAGAAATTGTGCCCGTCAGGATGGATAGTTGCTGGGAGTAAGTTTAAGAGGAAAGTGAGTAGCGACATTGAAGGTGATTATGGTGTTTTGTCCTATAGGAATGGCATCATTAGTGGAAATGGGAGAGGTAATGGTTGTGGAGGATTCACTGGCCATGGATAGTGCTCGTTTGAGAGAATGCTCTAATACCACTAATAGGATGAAGAAGAGATTGAGAGTGAAAGATACTAATTCATTCACAGAGGTTATACATATATACAAGTTGAGGTGTTGCCTTAACACATATGGAAAGAACTTGTAAAAATAGCAACATACATAATACAATGGATCCTTATAAATGCAGAATATACGACTAGCAATGACTGATTGTAAGGATGATTAGGATTTGATATCCCGTGTAGTTGATTGAGCCGTGATTGGTGGTGTAGCATGATGTGTTTCCATAATAACTTATGACTAGGTTACAAGAAATGCAAAGATTCTCCACATGCAAGAAATACAATTTGTACCCACGAGTGGGTGGATGAGTTGGCAGGGGACTCTTCCAACTTAACCAGAGGTCTTGGTTTCAAACTCTAAGAATGTAGTTCCGTTAAAACTCGTGAAGGAGAGCTTTGTCACTTGTTGGGTCTTGTCCAGTTTGAATCCGGATTAGTCGGTGGCCTAGTAGACTTCCAGATACCGGGTGGTCCATACCAAAAAAAAAAGAAATACAATTTGTCAGTATGTTTGGGTCAATAAATAAATCAAATTTCAATGTTGTTCCAGTCATATGGTTAAGCTGATGACTAACAGGACAGCCATAGGAACTTATTATTCCATCTATATTTCATTAGTTTCATACTACAAAATCTGATATGGTATGTTTCAGAAAGAATGATAAGAAAAAGAAAACGGATTAAATGTGTACCTTTTCATTGAAAAGTGACTCGTAACTGAAGCCTGTGACCTTTTCATGGCTGAAGCTAATAAACTCTGGCAGAAGTTGTAACCTTAAGCACTAAAGTTGGGCTGCAAGCTCAATTACATAAGTTGCTTCAGTAATATCATGATTGTCCTCTTGCTCCTCGTTGTCCCCTTGCCCCTCACCATTAACAATCGCAACTATGTTGCTTCAGCCTGTTGCTCTAATTTCTTGGAGATTTTGAAGCTATTTGGCTACAGAGAATAAGAACAAATTCTTCAGCTTAATGCAATGCTCTATCGTAATGATTGTTAACTTGTTAAAAGATGTTTCTTCAAATTGCCCATGAAATGTCTTCTCCAACTTGATCAAATTGTGAAGAAACAATGCTTGCAAGTTGGGAAGAACTTTGCTATGAATCCGCTTCACTGTGTTAATGAATATGTGTTGAATATCTGGATCATTCTTGACATGGAGATGCTTTAGTTCTAGAAAACCATTGTCATCTAACTCATTGACGACATTCTTGACACCATTCAACTTGTCAAGGTGTAGTTCCTCTGTCTTTTTGAGCAACTTTCTAACTAAATAATCAAGGCGAATGCTTACATTCAGCTTTAGTTTCAATGTTCTTGAGATCTCAAATGAACTGTCCCAATAACTCCACGTATCTCCAATGAAAATCTTGTATTGTTTCAATTCTGTAGAGAACAAGCCATCTGGAATCATCTAGATATCATGAATGTGTACCTCTAAAGCGGTCAGTTTTTCCAACCTCGTCAACTCAACAAGGCTAGCATTTCTTTTACTTTCATGCTCTTGGATGCCCTTTCATTGGTCAAAGCTGTTTCTCAGATATAGTTCTTCTAATTGGGACAAATTTGACAAGACACATGGGGGAATTACTTTGAGTTTGGTACAGTTGCTCAAATCTAAAAACTTTAGCCTAATCAGCTTCCCTATTTCTTCTGGCAGCATTTTGATATCACATCTTGCAAGGCTGAGGACTTGCAAATTCTTCAGCTCCTAGACCTGGCAAAAATTAACTTGACCCATGAACCTGACCAAAACTCGACCTGTAAAAATGGGTTAGGGTTTACATATCTTAACCTGTGACTCGTTGACAACCTGTAAAATTGACCCGAAAAGATCACGGGTCATGGACGGGTTAAACCGCGGGTTAATGGGTTAACCCGTTAACCCCCTTTAAGAAAAAAATAATCTTAAATATTAATTTTTTAAAACTTATTTATTATTAATTAACAATTCATTTTCCCCAAATTTCCTAATCCCTAGTTTCATGTTCATTACTCCAGCCGCCAGGAGAACCACGCACAACACAACTCAAAAACTCAACATCTTCCAGACTTCCACTCATGATTCTCCTTCTCCCTCACTTATCTAATTCTAAATCAATTCAAACTCTACATCTTCCACCACAGTTATCTAGTTCCAATATTCATTGCTCCATGTTTCCCACGCCAAAGCCAAACTCTACATCTTCCTCTTCCCCTCTTGCTTCTGCAGTGCCAGAGTTGGTTCACTCATCTAAATCAATTCACCACCTATTTGCTTTAATTTCTTCTCTCCCTGTAAACATAATCACCTTCTTTGTTCTCTCAAACCACTTCCCTTTGCAATTGAGGTATGGGTTTCAATCTTTCAAATATATGTTATTTTTTTTCTTGTTATAGATTTTGTATATCTAATTTTCATTTTAATAATGCTCAATAAGCTAAATTCTCTTTATAAGTCACTTTTAATAATTGTTTTGAGATGTATTTTCATGTTTTTGTTGAATACTTAGTAAATTTCAATATCCTAAGTCCTGATTTTAATATCCCCAAAGTCCCAATTTCATGTTTTATTTTTCTCTATTATTCACTCATGGTATTTGTATTAAGATGAATTTTTCATGTTTAGTTGAATACTTAGTAAATTAAATCAAAGGATCATTCTAAATAAACCTAAGATCATATCACTTGAAAACTGTGACAAGTATTAAAAATTCATAAAAATGATCAAATTGCAGGAAATACCGCATAAAAAGCCTCTAACTTTGAATTGTTCTGCAATATTTCGAGCATTGTTCTATAGGTCTCCCAAAGAAACTTGAACCATGGGGTAATAAGTTCACGATTAGACTGTTGAGATTACAATATCAATAGTCAAGTCCCTATTTCATTTTATTTTATTTCACTTAGTTTCTTTGGAAATTCTATGCTATTTTAATCTAAAAATGTGATTGTATTTTATTGGGTTTTCATCCATTTTTATTTGATTCTATTTCACTTGCTTATGTTATTGGTTATATTTGTAGTTTTTTATGTCTCATCTTTCTTTTAGTTTATGAATTAAGATTATTAGTTTTTACTTGTTTTGTGGTTCAAATTAACCCCTTTGTTTATTTTTTTTTAGTACTTGCATATTTTGTGGAAAATGAAAAGGAAGCAAAGTCAGGGTAATGGTAGTCCATCTCAAATACTAGCAACAAAACAAGGCACACCACCACCATCACAACCAGAAACAGAAACAGTCATGGATCTTATTCATGGTAATGCTAAATTTCAAGAAATTTAAGTAAAATTAATTGATTTAAATTTTTATTTTGGATGTAATCTAATTTTCTAATAATTACTTTAAATTATATTTGTAGTGGGTGAGGACAATGAAAATAACAGAGCTATATCTTCTGATCTTGAGAAAAATGAAGTTGCCCCATTTTCAAAGAAGAAGAAGAAGTCTAAAGTTTGGGATGATTTTCAATTGATTGAAGCACATTTGAATGATGATGGTTTGGAAAGAGGTAAATGTAAATATTGTGGTACTACCTACATTTGTGAAGGAAAGTATGGAACTTCTAATATGAAAAGGCATCTGTCAAAATGTTTTGCACATGTGAATAGAAATCCTATGCAAATGATGTTAAGTAACTTTGGAAAATTGGTTAGAAAAATTGATCAAGAAACTTTTAAGGAGTTGTGTGCACTGGTAGTAATAGAGCATTCATATCCTTTTTCATGGGTTGAGCATAAGGCTGTTAGATCATTAATGAAGTACTTAAATGAGGATGTGAAGCCAATTTGTAGAAATACTGTGAAAAATTATTGTTTGAAAATTCATCAGAGGGAGAAAGATAGAATTAAGCAGTTGCTGAAAAATGTTTCAGGAAGAATATGTTTAACATGTGACATGTGGACTTCTGCATTTACTCAAGGTTACCTTTGTTTGATTGCTCACTTTCTTGGTGATGAATGGAATTTACATAGCTTGATTTTGAATTTTCTACATGTCCCACCTCCACACACAGTTAGAATTTTGTTTAAACAAGTGTATGAGCTGCTAAAGAAGTGGGGCATTGAAAGTAAAATATTTTCAATCACTTTAGACGATGCTAGGTGTAATGATAACATGCAAGAAGTTTTGCGTAATCAGCTCAATCTTGAAAGGCCATTGTTGTCTAATGGAGATTATTTTCATATTCGATGTTCTACTCATATTTTGAATTTAATTGTGCAAGAAGGATTGAAAGTGATTGATGATAGTGTTAGAAAATTTAGGGATGGGATAAAGTATATAACTGCCACTAAGGGAAGGATGTTAAATTTTGAAGAATGTGCTAAACGAGCTAGTTGTGATTTAAGCAAGGGATTATGGTTAGATTGTCCTACTAGGTGGAATTCCACACATAAAATGCTTGAGAGGGCAGTGATCTATAAAGATGTTTTTTCTTCTTTTGAATTAGATAATGAAAATTTTAAATGGACCTTGGATGAAGAAGAATGGAAGCGAGTTGGTAGAATTTGTGAACTTTTATAGCCTTTTAGTGAAATCAGCACTTTATTTTCTGGATCGAAATATCCAACATCAAATTTATACTTTAAGCATGTTTGGAAGATTGAGTTATGCTTGTTAGAGAATATCAAGTGTGGGGATATCTATATCAAAGACATGGCAACCAGCATGAAGGCTAAATTTGAGAAGTACTGGGATTCTTATAGCCTTATTCTTACTTTTGCCATAATTTTGGATCCTCGTTATAAGTTATCTTTTGTGACATATTGTTACAAGATACTAAATAAGGAAACATACACTGCCAAGGTCAGTCATGTTACTGATAGATTGTATCAACTTTATAATGAATATGCAATGGAGGGTAGTAAGTTGGAAAGTGCAAATAATGCCACAATGCCTACAACTACTGTGACTGAAGTTGTTGGTAATAAAGATCGATTAATGGAGGTAATAATTGTTTTGTTTCTAAACTTTCTTCAATTTTCTCAAACTATTTTAACTTAATTCATTTTACTCTAATTAATTTGTTTCTTCTTACCTTTATGCAGGGCTTTGAAAATTTTGATATGAAAAAAGTGCACACCTCTCAATTACGTCAATACTTGGAGGAAGGTAGGCAATCACACCGACAACCTTTAGATATCCTTGAGTTTTGGAAAAAAAATGAAAAGCGTCTTCCAAACTTGGCTAGAATGGCAAGAGACATTCTCTCTATCCCAATTACAACTATAGCTAGTGAATCTGCTTTCAGCATGGGTGGGCATGTCTTGACAAAATTAAGAGGTTCTCTTTTACTAGAAAATGCAGAGGCTTTGATAACAAGCCGCACTTGGTTGAATGGATTTCAAAAGGAAGGTAACATGAAAGTTTTTAATATTTAAATTTTACTATTTTTGTCTTAGTATTTGCCATATATTTCATTGATTATGTGATTTGAATCTGTCATTTTTCAATTGATTGGCTGCAATTGAAGTATTTAATTCTTGAATTTTTTTTGTTTGGTATTTCTAGAAAAGAAAGATATATTCTCCTCAATTTTTCCACCTTTATAGAACATTGTTGTCATGCACATGGGATTGGTATAAAGAAAAGATAAAAATAAAATGAATTAAGTTGAAGTAGTGATTAATCATAATTCATGAATATTTATATGGTTTTATATGGTTTTCGATTAAATTAAAATAGTAGCTAATCTGCCCTTTTTCTTTTTTTTAATGGATGAACCTTATTTTGGGATATGCTTTTAAAATTGTTTTGAGTGTTTGTTCATCATGAATTAGGTGACAACACTGCTACTGGTCATGCTGAAGATGAGGTGCTGGGATATGAATATCAATTTAGTGGAAGTTCTGCTGTTGCTAATAACTAGTGAGCTTGGAATGGAAATATTATCTTAAGGAGAAGTTTCAACATTTGGATTAGAGATTATGTGATTTCAAACTAGTGACTTCAAAGTTCAAATTTTATATTTTGTGAAATTTTAATAATTTTAGTTTAGTACAATTATTTTTTATTTCTTGAATGACAATTTGGTATTGTTAGATAAAGTATTGTTATGACTTGTGATATTATAACTTATTTGACTTATGATTTTGATTTAATTTGAAGACTTGTGATGGTAAGATTTATGATATTATGCTTTATGATCTTACTGTAATTTGAATATTGTGTTACCTGTGTCGACACATAATTTTGGTGTCGATACCATATGGTAAGTAGCCAAAACTTCGACACGGACGTGATGTTGACACATAATTTGGTGTCGACACCATATAGTAAGCATCCAAAACTCCAACACGGACGTGGCAGACGTGGTGTTGACACATAATTCAAGTGTCGATACCATACGAAAGGGCTATTCCACTAATGTAATATGATGTTTATGGGTTTGGGGTATCCCTTGTATATCATTTATTAATAAATATTATTTTTGCTATTAAAAAAAAAAAAACAAGATGCAATACTTTATATTTGGGATTGCTATTTATTAAATATTGTTTTCTTGCATTGTATGTTAGTGTATTTATTTGTTGAATTGTTTTTTTTTTTTTTTTTTTTATCTATCAAAATATGATTTTATCTTATATAATACATGTGCTGTATATATAATCTTAGGGAAATAATATATTAATGAGCTAGAAACTATAGCTCGAATTGTGATAAATGAAAAAATATCAACCTGTAGGTCAACTCGTTACCCGCAAAGGTCGGGTTAGAGTTGGGCTTCATCAACCCGTGACCTGTTAGTGACCCAACCCGTATAACCCGTAACCCGAACTCGACCCAACCCGAACCTGACCCAACCCGCCCGTTTGTCAGGTCTATCAGCTCCCCAATAATAAAGCCTATGTCTAAATCTTCTAAAATACTTTGATCTAGACATAGGGTATGTAAGTTTATTAGGTGGGAAATTGACTGAAGGATTGACTGAAAATGCACTTTAGTAAAACCCAATACTCTAAGTCCAACTGTTCCTCGAAACAAGTGATCTGAAATTACTTGAGGAGCATCCTTGCTAGACGAATGAAAGAAAGTGAGCTGTCGGCATTTCAACTCATCTAGAAGCTGACTAGCATCAACATTTTGATAAATAAATTTGTCACACCCCAGAACCCAAATCCGGGAATGTGGCAGACACCGTGCACTCATGAGAGGGTCCCACAAATGCACAAAGCTCGGAACTTATCATATTCACATCTGACAATCCACAAAATCTGATGATCAAATTTTATAATTTGCTCTAATATCATAAATCTCCAATAGAGTCTAGTTTA